TAGCTTAAAACACACATTAATTTAGTATATTGAAGTGATATTTTACACCTAATGGTTAAGGAGAAATATTAAAATTCCTACCTATCTTATTCTTATAGAGAATAAGCCACTGTTGTAATTTGTATGTAAGCCTATATATGGATATATTTTAATCAAATTTGGCAAATTTATTTATTTTATACTTAGCTATTTACATAACACAAAAAACATGTTACTTTCTCTGTAGCAGCAATTCTAAGTTCATCTTTGAATCTAATTATATTTAAATAGGGAATAAATGTGACATTTTTTGTAAGGAAAGATTTGTGAAAAACAAATCAGACAAATGAAAATTCACTTGGTCAGCAGGTGTGCTGCAGCAGGGGTTTTAAATTTTATTTTGACTCTGAAACAGGCCAACAACTTTGACACGAAAATTGAATGTTCAGTTTTATTTTTGACTATCTATAGAACTAGACAAAATATAACAATTTAATTCCCAAGTTAAAGCTATCATCAGTTGTAGAATTAAATTGATTGATTTTGATGCTATACTGTTCTGTTGAACGTGCCAACATTCTTACAAAGTCATACTTCAAACTGATATGACTTGTTGTTTGTAGCCTATATCTATCAGGTATCACAGTGAAAAAATAGGGAGAAAATAAAATTTTAGACTGTAGCTTTGTGATTGACTCATTCAACTACTCTGAGCATATTTTAAGGGATTTCCACTGGGCGACAGTGGCGCCAGACTTACTGGTGGGTCTGGGGGGAATACCCCCCATCAAAAAGGGTAATTTTTGCATAAATTAAAGTGAAAATCACACATTTCTACGTATATTTTAATGAATTTTTTGATTATATTTGTTTGTAAATAGTCCATTTAATCTCACTTAATTACGTATTCTAGAACGTTGTAATAGGCCAAGGCTCCTTTCACAACCTCTTAGGCCAAAATCATAGCTCAATACTCTAAAATATTTACATAATGTTACTTTTTAAATTCCGATACATTTAAAATGTGAATCATTTAAAAAAATATGCCGGCACCACCCATAGTCACTGGGCGACAAAATCTCAACACTGATATGTTAACATGTCATTTTATGCCCTGCAACTACTCGTACCTACTTTATGTTCTTTTACATAAAAAACCAGGCTGTCCCTTTCCCTTCCTTTCTCTTGCCATGATGACAGCGACAGCATTTGATGACAAACGGGATATATTTTTCAGTAGTACCCAAAAGTCAATGGTTCCATCTATGTAGTGAAAAGTATATGTGGTCTACAACACTTAAAATTGGAAAAGTTAGGGGGATTTAAATAGGGGGAAGCAGAATTTTATCCCCCAGAGCAAATCTGACGTCACAGCCTTTGGGGGTGAAATTTCCACCCGCAAGCTTTTGAGTTGCACAACATGAGTTTAATAAATTAAAGGTAAAATTAAACATATCTTTTTAAGGTTGTGAATTTAATCAGAAAAAATCAAATTAAAAAAACCTAGAGCGTAGAGGTGAAATTTTACCCCCATTATGGTTCAGCTCTAAATTCACAGCCAGATCCCCCCCCCCCCGGATTTTAACCCAAATTTTACCCCCGGAATTTGATATAATAATAAAATTAACTACGTAATTCTCCCAAACGTCTTGAAAGTCTGTCCATAGATGTGGGTATCATATCCTTGTTTGATATTTCATTATGATATTTTTCAAATATTCAAACCATCAAACTTAGGTCGATTACAGTCTTTTTTTCTTTTTTACCAGGAATTTGGGATTTTTTGTCACATTACTTCAGGCTAGGTCTAAAGGTTGTGGTATTATCAAAATCCAATGGTAATTGGCTGGATTTGACAATAGGACCTTGGAGGTCAGAGTCCCTCCTGAGTAAACTACAAAATAAATAATGGTTTTAAATCAACTATCACTTCAATTCAAGTCTTACATTCACATTATAGGACACTAGGTTCAAGCCCAGAACGGTTTTAGACACTGCTTCAAGCTAGGCCTTGAGGGCGTGGCATTATAACAAAGCTAAAACAATTTATGGTTGGAGAGATTTTAACCCGAGACCTTGGGGAACAAAGTCCCGAGCTTAGACTAGACTTAGCTTCCCACACTAGAATTCCACATTACAACTCATTGTTCTAAAACAGCAGTATACAAAACACGCGAAAAACTTGGCATTGGTCATGTTTAGCTTGAAAACGCCTGCCTAATTAATCAGACTGACTCACGCCTGCCTACCGAGGTTGATCACATCTACCGTATCCGTTTCCGGAACATCGCATTGTTGTCGCGCAGCTGCAGGGTTACCACCTGTGCCGCAATCAACATAATTACTGAAATCCCTGCCACAAGCGGAAACCCCCGATACTACGAATTTCGTAGTTCAAGGACCAAGGATCTGATAGACCAGGGGCCCATTTCATAATAAACTACAAGTTACAAGTTACAACTTGTAACTTGTAATTTCCATAAGATTTGCATTGAGCGATCAGCTGATTTACTAATAACATTAGTTTGTAATTTATTATGAAATGGGCCCCAGGAGTTTCCGAAGTAATCATCAGAAAAGGTGCAAACTAAAATAAAACCTCTTGGGCAATATTCCTTACAATTTTGTGTTTTGATTGAAAACATTTTGTTTTTCAAATTATTATTTTGATTTCATTTACTTTATGCAATGGGGAGTTTATGTTATCCAAGCAATTGCGGATATTGTTCATCATGGTTAGTATAAGGTTATCACCAGTAACATGTTTATTCATGTTGAATTTTAATCCTGGCTTGATTAGTAGAGCCATATAAACCATATAAACACATATAAACACAATAACTCGAACATTTTTGTCATTGAGTAACTTAACTTGCTGTATTTTTTATAACATAGATACCGGTATTTGAAAATGTAAATCTTTATGATAATACTTTTTAAAGTAGTTTTATAGTTCTGAGAAACCAAAAAAGACTAATTAAGTTCGTTAAGTAAATGATCTCTTCCGTAAAATATGCTCTTTCATCAACATGATGTCTATCATGGTATATCGCATGAAGGAAATGTTAAAGATAATGTCTGGTTTATGTAAACTTTACGAATATTAGAACAGAAACGTTATAATGATCATAACCATAAACAAAATACGCTGCTGGCTCGAAAGTAAACATTTTGCCATATTGTTATGATCCACACAGTCACACAGTTTCTGTTCTAATATATGTAATAAACTGTTATGTGACTCAATTCAGAAATACAGTTTATCCTCTTTACCGATCAAAATAAATAAATCACTCTCGAAATATCAGACTGAAAACATAAACTCAGTCACTGACAGATAACGGTATCATCCTTCCTCAGATTGTGACAATTTTAAGGTTAGGTTTATCATTGAGGTTATTTGTTTGTTGTCATTTAGCGAACTGTGAAGCAATTTGACGGAATATAACGCTATACTTGTACAATTTTGTCTGTCTTTCAATGTTAAAACCAAAGAATAAAGCACAAGACGTTACAAAAAACATTACTTCTTAATTGGCTGTGTAATAAACAATACTGATGCAATCTACTAAACCTAACCTATAAAAATGAATTAAATCATCTTTAAAACCCAACGATAAAAATTCACATAGTAAAACAAAGAATATACTTGGCCTCTTACACGAGGAAACAATGTGAATACGAAACATGCGATGACAGAAACGAGAAACTGAATACCTTCGAAAATAACCGGACAAAGCGAAGCCGCGGACAACTAATGTGTGGAAGACAGAAATAAGATTACTACAATGTGGGATTGTTCAGGCCAGAAGCTGTGATATAAACCCAGTGACTGAATGGCACGCCACATTGCTCAGGTATTTTGGCAATGCGCATTCAACACTAGCCAAATTGTACGATTCTTGATTGTGTTGAGGTTAATTGTTAAAAGGACCTCATAAACTGAACTTATTTGGCTTCTCTGTTGGCTCAGCTAATTATTGGAGATTTTCTGATCTGTGTCATCATGTGTGTGATTTGATATGATGCACTTTTGAATAAAATAAACAGTCTCAGCAATCTCTGTTAGTTCAATCAGATGACAAAAGTTGCAATAATTTTTCAACTATAATTTTTACAGCAATGTAGGCCTATAATTTTATTTAAAACTAATATTAGTTTAACATACTATATTTTAATCAAAGTCGTTAGAGTTATTTTTTGAAAATCCAATTTTTTATCATTTATGGATTTTTTAAGGGAAATCACAATTAAAAATCACAATTTAAAAGAAGATTGAAAATAATTTAAGATAGATACCATAGATTATAGTGGTACCAACATACCAAATTTGATCAATTTTGGGCGACAGGTGTAATATTGTACCTCTGTACACAACCCACCAAACAGAAACACACAGGTATCATTTAGAAAACAACCTTTATGGGTTCAGTAGTGCCCCCAAAATGGTTATTATAATATATTTTCCACCTAAAACTCAAACTTGAAAATTTTGTTCAAAACAACCTTTCTCCATAGCTATGTATAGCGGAGATAGTAAAAAACATTTATAAAGGGAATAACGCATTCTCTTAAAAAAAATGCAAATAAAATTAAAAAGTTATTGCAACTTTTAACTCCCTACAAAAATCATAGTTGATACCACCAATATGCAAAAGTGGCCATGATAAACGTCATTAACAAGCTAATGGGGATTGCTGATACCATAATTATTTGATTAGTGTCAACAATTGAAAATCGTAACATGACAAAGTATTTATGCAACTGCTAAGTGCAATGATATAATTTATTAAATAAATTATTGAACTTTATTTAGCAGTATCCATTGCATGTCTGCAGCAATCACTTTTGCAACAATTAAGTTATGTAGTTAAATAATTTTGTTTCAAGCTCAACAGTTATTATCTTTTAAGACACATTACTGTACTGTGCCACTAGTCTACAATACATTATGCAACTTATTGTCTAAAAACTAAAAAAACTAAAACTTAACCTAAGAGGTTCGGATAAGTAAAACAGCGTTGAAGAAACAATTTGTCTTTATTGTTTGAATATTTTGTTTAATTCAAATCTGGTGAGGTATGTTCCGTAATGGCACAAAGGCACTTTCGACTTAACTAACTTAACCTAGCATAACATAGCCTGACCAGGCTAATACACAGGACAACTATGGATCAGCTGTTTCTCAACAATATTGGACAATAAACAGCTGTTACAGTACAAATTGTTCTGTGTGTTAGCTGGCATTAAGTGCAGATTGTCTAACTGGCCTAATTGCTAACTGCGGACTTTTAGAGAGCATTTTACAGATTTACGAATAAATTTGTATTATAAAAAACATTATTTAGGCAATTGCTGAAAATATTATATATATACATTGCCAAGTGTTAAATTGATAGAGTGTCATATTTGAGAAAAGTAGACTATTAGAACTCATATTATGCCAAATGAAGAAGATTTCAATTTAATTTTTACCTGTACTAGTTATACGCAAATAATAAAAAAATCCAACAATAGCAGTATAGTAAATCACTAAATCCTCATTAATCCAGATCCAGGTACGGAATAACCTTAATCCAGACAGCTATTTGACAGCAGTAAGTAAATATTGCATACAGCTAAGTTAGGTGTAAAATACAAAGATTCCATCTACTGGTTACAGTAACTGAGAAGTTAATAGATTCTTAAATTCAAAATCAATAAATTGATTTGCCTTAATTTTATAAAAGGTGTTTTATCAATTTCAAGGGGTTCTCAAAAGGTACTAGGGTATTTATTTACGTATAAGTTTATTTTAATCAATTAGGGTTTTTCATTCATCTTGGCTTAAATCAGAATTAGTCTGGATTAATGAGGGTTAACTTACTTTACTTTTTTACATATTATGACTATTTAAGTACTGCAAGAAATATGGAACTAGAACTCTTAAAACAGTTTTACAAGTCAATAACTCAGGCAATATTTCATCTACAATTCCTTCCAAGTTGAAATATTTTGCCCGCAGGATTAGCTGTAATATTTACTTAATTGTTACATGAATCAACCCTGTATAGCACCATGAATTACTCTACATACTATATATACAGCCACATTTGTATATACAAAACCAGACAAAATATGAATCTGCCTGTCTAACTCTGAATCTGAATCTAAACTAAATTGTGTTAAACTTGTAATTTACAATTAGTTCCAACTACAGTAATAACAATTAAGAAAAATTTCTTTTAGCTTTTAAAATTTGTTTTAATTTACCTACTATTTAACGATTTCTGACCTGGCAGATTCATTATCAAACTTACAGAGCTGGGTGTACATGGAGGATTAAAAAAGCTGGCACATTGGACAATAGTGTGCAATCATATGGCATTATCAGCTGAGTGTAAGTCAGAAGAATGGAACACTTATTGAACTAGTTGTTAACATCCACAATAAATAAAAATTCAAATTTCTCCCCAACAGGCCAACAGGTGAACTATAAATTCACTTATTCATACAATGAAATTGAAAATAACTTTTATTGAAAAATAACAGATCTACAACTAGGCCCCTACACGAATTTAAGATTACATAATTATTTATAAAAATATTTTTCTCAAGACATACAGTGATACAATGTTTTTGCTCTACAAGTTCTAGCATAAAGTCAAATATAACTCAAACATTTGTGGGTAGGCAAAGTAAAATAGTAAATCAAACATAACATGTGAAATAAACAAGTCAAATTGAAACACTAAACGAGTTGTCTAAGATTATTGTATACAAACTTCAAAAAAAGATATCAGTCAACGTGTGCAATCTTATGAGATCAAAATAATACACTTGTGGATCAATCTTAAAATATGAGACCTTCTCATCGAGTGAATCATTCCAAGACTTGTTCCTCGAGTGAACTGCTCCAAGACTCGTTCATTAAGTGAAACGCTCCAAAATGATCAGCGTCTATTCCGATCCACTTATATAAAATACTTACAAGTCAGTCTTTTTATAAAATCACTTTTATAATCAACCAAGACTTGTTTCCTATCTTTTACACCAGTTTCTCACGACCTTAACAGTTTTTTTTACAAATATGCACATTTGTACAGTCAATACTTTACACAAGATCTACAATTAAAACTAGTGAGCTTTTATTTACAAAACAGTAACAATTGAAAAAATAATATCTTAACAATCATAAATATTGTTCTTTAACTCTTAAATGGTGCGATAATCTGTTTCTTTAAATGCTGAAAGCTATAACCATACAGGTGTGACTGAAATCCAAAATCTTATTCTAATTATGATTGAATATACAATTGTAAGTATACTTATAAAAATAAAGCTTATAATAGTTTTGACTGTTTACATGAAAACACACAATAGCAGGGGTAAAATGCAGGATATATATACAGTATACAGATATGATTTGAAATAAGAATGGCCCAAAAAAGTGGTTTGAAATATTCTTATTAAAAAAAAGCTATTCCGTTAGTGAAATCATTATTTTATTTTGGCACACTATTGAAATCAACAAGTAGACACTGATGTCTCATGCAAATAGTCCGAAAAGGCTAAATAAACTATTTGTTTAACTCAGTCTAGACCTTAATGTTAGGGTATTTAGATCACAAAGGGTATAAAACTAAATCACACAAAATCATGTCCGTTTGACACTTGTCACATTTCAGTGAGATCCAAGTTGCTAATTACAAAATTCACGGAGTGTCAGCAACAGAAATGTGAAAAATAATTTTTAATACCTGATTAAACTCTTTTGGAAGACATAAATTAATATTAACCAACCAAATACTTGCCTAATTGTCTTTTTCAAGGAAAATTTCAAATGTTGTGGTTTTAGTCCTATAAATTTACTAAGATTAAAATGTATTTTCTCCATCAAAATCAATTTGTATCAAACAGGTTTATATTAGAAGATACTTATCTGATACGAATTGACCACCAAGTAACTAAGGGGATAATATTTAAAGGACAAATTAAAACAATAGTCAATAAATTTTACATAAATAGTTACAGAGAAAAATCAAACCATAATTATCAGAAACTAAAATTACTGTAAAACATTAATCCTTACAGTCCTGTACTAAAATTATTCTCACAATATTTCAAACCCTGCAGACACTTAAATAAATTTTGATGTGCAATGTCTTCTAGAACATAGGTACACTAACAACTATATTTTGAAAACGGGAGTATGAACGAAATGGGTCGCTAGTTGACTTGGTTAGTTTGATCACCCTTTAACTAGGTGAGTTCACTCCTTGGTCTTCTTGGAGCAGAATTGGTCTGGGGCGGACCATCGTCTCTTCTTGCCCTGGGACCCGGGGGAGTCCGAGGCGGGGGTGGCCCGAGGAGACAGGGAAATACAGATGTCGCCGACCTGGAGTTGGTGACAACGCAGACCGTACAACGTCAAGGTTTTGTCCGGGTCACACGAGGCCCAGCCCTGGCCATACACGAAGTAAGGGTGTCCGACAGCCGACTCGAACTCCACCTGAAATAACAAAAACATTAGTTTGACTTATTACAGGACACATTAAAAAAATAATGGATTAAAACTCTCTGTTCAGGACTGGGGGTTTTAATTCGATACTATTGTATATTAAAATGATTAAAATAAAACTGTAAAGTGTTTGACGCAAAAAATCGTATGGACCAAAACATATCTCCAATTTACAGCTTCATTCTTGTGATTAATGTAAAATTAAGATTCCACCAATGTCATCCCTTTCCTTTCTTAACCACTTTGACAATTAGGTTGATTTAAAGGAGATAAATTGTGAGCTACTAACGTTTGATAATCCTGTAGAACCAAAACACTTAAAACAACTTAAAACACTTAAAGTACAAGAGTGAGGTTTCCTTGGCTATCTAAGTCTGAGGGTAATCAATTATTCCTCTAACTAATCATGGGACGAACATATAGTTTCTTGAGCAATGCTGACACGTTATCGCGATCGCAACGTGTAATGATTGTTGGTGACAGACTGAAAAGATGTGTACGAGTAGTCGTCGTTGGGCGTCGTGCCGAGACAGGCGTCCAAGAACGTGGCATACCTCAGACATTCCCAAATCCGAAAAGGAAGAACTATTTACATTACCTAAAGAACATTTACAGATCCTATCAGGCGTAGATGAGACACTGACATGTCTAAAAAGCCAAAACTCAAACACTCACAACTAAAAAAAGAGAATAAATCTGACATTTACAACTCCGAAAAGTATCAAATCACATAAAAATACATGCATTCATATAAAAACAAGAACATGTTTGTACATCTGAATAATGTAGTGTCAACGAAGCTATATTAATATAATGTATAATTATGCATGTACTATTCTATTGAATATATCACTTAGCCAACTAATTAAGTTTTTGGTTCTAGTGCAAATTTTGAAATGTTCACACTGAAGTAAGAGCTCATTAATCCACAACTCCGAAAAGGCCCAGCTCCGAAGGTTATTTCAAAGAATCAATAATGATTTGGGTTCGCTCAAGATGTCTACGTAGCGAACTTTCTATAGATTTTTGAATCCAACATTTTTTATTTAGTGACCATTAGAAAATGAATATTTAAGTCGTGGAATTAGTTAAGGCGCTAGAAGAATTCTATATGCGAGTTTTGTAAGACGAAACTTAAAAAAAACTACACATAGTTATGGAAAAATAAAAACAAAGTTACAGTAACAATACATGGAGATTTGTGTACAATTAATTATGCAAGGCTTTCAAGTGGTATACTGTACAACGCTATGCATGTGCGTTAAGTCAGGCAAAGCCATGAAAAGATATACTGTACATGGGTATAGGAAGAAAGAGATGTAGACATTAAAGTGCGTTACAACGAATATGCAAGGGAGTCGAGCAAAGAGAAGCTATGAAAAGTACTTGAATCCCGATACGATCCCCACGAACAGAGTTTTGTATTTACCTCCACATTCATTTGGGTGGACCAACCTACCAACAGTCCGAAATAGAACATAAACGCTATTTTACGGATGTTAAAACGTGTTTTGACTGAAAATATGACAAACAGCCAACTATAATGTCTGTCGCAGTCAAAACGGAGAATTAAGCGACGCTGTAGCCGGGACGAGCTGCGGCGCCCACAAAATAATACTTTCGAAAATAATCCGACGACGGTAAAAAATAAACAAGACGTCTAGACTGGATATTTCGAGCGGCAAGCTGATCAAAGGGAAGCAGGAGAGCCACCGTCGCAACGCAACACGTACGATAAGTTAGGTTGGTATCACTGATAACGTTAAAACATCAAGAAATCTTTTTTCTTAACACTAATTAAGATTGCAGTAGTGTAAAAGATTCTAAGAGTCATTGTTAAATATAATGTTAAAACTATTTGTTTAGCATAAAAAAAGGTAGTTTGGTCCTGATATATTGGACAGAATGCCTTACTTTGTATGAAGATCTGATAAAAATTCTAAACACTATTATATTTTAAGGCACTCGTATATCCAATACAACAACCATTTAACAATAATTTTGCGCATCTTATTGTCCCATTTATCCTCCAGTTCAAGTGTAATTATAATTGTCACTTCAAGTGGTGAAATGGCCTCGTGGACCAGATATTACGAAATAAAATAATATGTACAGTAACACGCAAATGCTACGTTGTATTTTTGTTTTATAAGATTTTTGGTTGGTGAATGAGTTTTACTTTATAAGAGATGTTAAGTATTTAATACAGAACAAGTCTTTTCTGACGATTGCAGCTCTTTGACAGAGTACGGGAAAAATCAATTCGAAATACTTAATGTGTTTATAAATTTTAAGTATAATCCCATTAATTTTATTGCAAATTAAACATTCATAACGACTCAATGTCAAAACAATTTGCAAGCGAAACATTTGAGATCACAGCGGCGAATTAAGCGATAAAACGGTTTAAATGGCAGAACGCGTTACGTGGTTACGTTTCAGGATATTATTCAGAACCTGTTATCAGTCTGATAAGAAACGGAAGGCGTAACTCAGCGGATCGCATGTCTACATCCATCCTTAACTCGCTTATCACTGTTCTTATCAGTATGTAGTTGTCGCCCTGGCGGCGAACCACGCAACAAACTTCCATTTGCTCCAAGGTTAGGAAATTACAATGTTTCCAGTAACAATGTTATAGTTACGACCCCTTCATTCTGCCGATGCAAGAGCCGCAGTACGTAAGCGCACTGCGGGAATTGCATGTTGAGTTTTGCAGCGCATTCAGTTGATTAGCTTGTTCGTGTTTTTTTTTATTTGGGTGCATTTGAGTTTTTACGACTCCTAATTGATTTTTTTTATTTCTACCCCATACAAAGTATATGGAAACTGTTGTTTTCATCAAAACTTTCTTAGGTTGAAAGACCTGTTTAATAAATCTGTTTATCCTGGATGTGTTTTTTTCACATCCACTATAAACTATAACATTTGAAACCAATTAGTTTACGATTTTTTTTTATCCTGGTGAGAAATCATACAGTACTAGTGTTCCTACTCCCAAAGCAGAAATTCGTTAGCTACACAAAAACTACACAAAATTGCATTTATTTAAATATAAAATTTATTGCTGAGGCTTTACTAATGAAAACGCATGGAAAACTAATTTGATTTTCCAGAGAGAATAACTGTACAGGGGGAACCATCTATGTATATAGTCTGACCGACAGTATAAGACTAGACTATAGTCTAGTTAGACCATACTGTAGTATATACATCGATGGGGACTATCAACTACCATGCACATTCAGCAAGAACAACGTATGGCAATATCAGACTAATCAGTCTTTAGGAATATATTTGTGACGAGCAATTTTTGTACACAACCGGCGTCCATCAAATAACATTTTTAACCCATAAATGAAATACAAAGTCAGATGTTATTCAAATTTATTTACTGAAATATCTGACAGAATATGAAGAGTGGTTTTATAGGGCTGACATTGTAGGCAGATAATTGAACGTGCACAATAGAGATAAACTTGTTAGAAAGATAAACTATATTCAACATTGTGTTTGATATCTAGTGTGATTCTGATGTATGATATAAATTGATAACTAGTTTGATTAAGGTTGATAACTAGTGTTTATTGATAATTCTGTGTACATTGATAACTAAAATAGAAATCGATATAGATAACTAAGTGATTGCTATATCGTTTGATATGGTAATAAAATAATTATAAATCATATATGTCCACAAACGCGCCTTCACAAAACCTAGCACAAAAGTTATGCACACAGTTATGCACTTTGCAGCGCAGTGTTGAAGGCGTCGTGTGGGGTCACCATGCAAAATATACCAGTTCGACACCGTAAATTCTACATTTTAATTTACTCCGAGCTGTTTAAAATGTAAAACACCGGCGACCGGTGCGCCGCATGCACGCCACCTTCTGCACTGTTGCAATACTGTAATTTCTGGGAAAGGGCAAACGACCGGCTATCTGCTATCTGGTTTATTTCTATTTGATTTCCCGTATTTACATAAATGCTAACAAGATTGTGCCAGTTTCTTTATTTTAGCGCGGTTTGTGAGAGGATTTTGCATATTTAAACCCTGGTGATAAAATTGTGGCTACTAGTAATAGTCAATGTCACACACAAAACAGACATTGTTTTTATTTTGTGTTATAAAATGGATAATAGTAGTTTCTTTGTTTCTAAGCAAATGATACCTAATATTTATCAATAGGTTATCTAGCAAATCTATAAATCACTAAACTGTAAATAAGGATAATGACTATATTTCAATTTGGTTATCTAACAGGATTGTTTTATCAGTCTACTTATTGTATTTTTTATCAAATTATTCAAATGGTCCACATTAAAATCTTACTAGTGACCAAACTTATTTTATTTACACTATAGTAAAACTACTAGAGTATAAGCCAGTACAGAATCTATAGACCAAACAAGCTATTTATTGGTGTAAACATTAATAAAATACATAAAACATGTAGTTATTGCTTCTTACAATTTGTATATACCTATAGCAAACACTTATAAACAATTAATTACTCTTATTTTTAAATTTCGGTACTTGTAAAAACAACTATGGAATATCTTGTAAAAGATGTTTTTTCCTCAAGGAAATTTCTCTTTGGAAGACGCCAGACATAAAACCTGATTGGGTTCGATTTTCCACAAAGGTCCTGTCTGGGAACAAAAGAACTTCACATGTTTGGGACGAATAAATAAATCCAGGGAGGGGAACAGTGGAAAGGGGGGACAAAGGACCGCGGGAACTGGAATCGATCTCTACCTTTATATCCGGAGACACGAACTATGATCTGCCTTACAAACCACTTTCACTTTCATTAGGTTTTAGAATTTCGTAAATTGGAATTATTTGCAAATCAAAAATAATGCTGGGGATTTACTAAAAAAGCTAAGTTTGAATCACTCCAGAGTGGAATACGTTATAACTGACCTCGGTCTTGTTTAAAATATTGAAAATACTACCTAGTTTTATTGAATAACCGTTTTTAATGAAGGGATTTTTATAAGTGTACAGTGTTTAGCCAATACGATTAATTTGGTACGTGATAGGCTTTTATTTGAATAACTACGACATTTGAATTTATCAAATTGTGCTAAATAGATCGTCTAAAGAATCTAATCTGGTATAGGTAATTGATCTAATTATTTCTTAATACTGTACCAAACTTTATTGCGTTTACTAAAGAATGCAAAGTGTGTTATCTTTTGATGGCCACAAACAACTTCTGTTGATCAATTTATTCCTCACCAAACAAAACTTGTGTCCTTCTTTCATTTCCAGACAACAGACAAATTTAATTTTTTTTAGTTTTGAGTGGTAAAAATGTTCAAGTTCCTACGAAATTTAGGCCGTAACACTTAAGAATGAATATGTTTCGCTATAAAAAGAATTCAAAGTAATTAATAAATCTAGCGACCATATTTTAAGAACGTAATTTTAAAAATGTATACATCCTAACAAGTATTGCATAGCCTATATGTCACAACTAATAGAACATAGTTTGTGTCAATTTTTTTTATAATTTCCAAGCCGTTATAATATACAACACGTCTTACATATTATAGTATATGTAGTACAATCACAATCGGTGGGGCGTCAAGTAGTACAGTAGTATCAGCGCGCTTGCGTCCATGCAACAATCAATGACGCCATTCACCAGCCCCATTCAATAAACCCACCCCTCACTCCCTCCAAATCTGCAGCCCTCGTTGCTTTGGAGGGAGAAGCCCTACCGCAAGCATACAGCAAAATACACGGTGATAAGTTAGTTCACACTCTGTGTAAAATGGTAGATTTAATTTATTATATAATCTGTTTAAAATCGTGTATTTTATTTATGTTTTACTCTGTGTAAATGCTAGATTTTAATTGATCTGCAAACTGAATAATAATCAGCAATTTAGGCATAATGTAAACAGCATTTAGGGGTCTGTTGATTCGATGGTGCTGTAATTGTAGATACAGTATTATAATCGGTTGATTATTTTTGAAGGCCTAGTGCCACAGTCGTCCAAAGGAAGTGAGGATTTGGGAAGATTAGAAATATCCATGATTCTTGTTCATTTTGACTTGTTATGAATTATTTTAGGCTACCTAGATCAATTATTTCGATTTTTTAAAATGCAAACAGTAATACAATGCAAAAGTGATTATTAAGATACAGTATCAAAAAATCGAATAACTACATTTTGTACTTTGTATTTTCTGTGTAAACTGTATCCGTTCTCTTTACAACTCAGTAGCTCAACACAATGGTTAGTTTATAACCAAACGTCGTGCGTCGACGAAATCTAGCAAGCGGTTCAGTGGCAGCGACAGCGTGATGCAGTCAGCCGTGAATCACCTCGCGCTATTGTTGTCAGTGACGCCATCTTTACTCATCGAACATAACCTCACTTTATCCAATTTGTCTGCACTGTCTGCCATTTTAATTACCATGACATCCGAGCCCGTCTGCTGGCGCTGGCGCTAGTCGTTTAATTTACGACCACATTGTCGCCTTGGTAACCTCAGTTCCTCATACACAATTACAAAAATAATTGGACAATCTAGATACGATAAATTTATTTAATTAAAAAGCTTTTGTATGCTCATGGAAACCAATTGAGTACTGTTACTTCAAAATAGCGGAAATTCAATCTCTGAATGAAAGACGAATGAACCCGGAAAGCATTGCGTCAATCGTATTTTAATTTCTAATCGACTATTGTTCATTCTAGTTCAGCGCACACATTCATAAAAGTTCTTGATCTGGTTCAAAATGTAAATGATTCAAATTAGGATAGGTCTACTCTCCTCTCCACAACGTTTTGGCAATTTATACCGTTGTTTTTAACTCAATATATCATTTTAAAACCTTGCATTATTTAAGGCACTACTACTTAATAACAATATTGAAATTGAATTGAAACAATATTTAAATATTTCACATATTTTTTAGGGCGCTAACTAAAAAGACGGGTCATATATATCTACTAATTTTTATTAGGCCTAAATGTATGGGGGTAGGTTGGTTCCGCATTTGCTACCTACACTAATCCGGGTCCCGTAGGGTGGGTTATAATCTGGTAGGTCAGTTCCGCATTTGACGGCTTCAACAATAGATCTCTTGAAATTGTAAAGATCAGTGAAGCGTACAAAAATGCCAGTCAACCGAAATAATCCATAAAAATAAGCAAGTTCTGAATGAGTTAAAGTTGAAGTAGCATGTTCCAGTTGTAACGATTTCTCTAGTTTTTTACCATAGCTGATGCAGATATTTCTTTCACCGATCCCAATCTTAAAGGGCGAAGATTATTATTGATTATTATTATATTGAAGATTATTATCCCAATCATTATTGCGAAGCCGCAATCTTAAAACTAAAAAAATCACATTACACCAGCTGCTGCTTAAATACGCTTATGTTACAAAATGCTAATAGCTCAGTTGGTAAACTAAACCTGTCACAGGAAAAACTTTAAACTTTGTAAGCATCTTATAACAAATTAAAAATATAAAACAAAACTAGTGTACCTGTTGCTCGAAATCGAGCAGTTGTCTAGTACCGGCACTACAGAAGCTATATTAAAACTAGTAGTCATAATTTTCTATGAGTTTAAAAGACCCTATTAAAAGCGTATGCAACTAATGGAAATACATACGCATAGATACGCACAGATACGCATATATACGCATGGATAATAACAGTTATAATAAACACGTCTTGTAAATACTGACAACAAACTAAATATGTTCTCTGCTGTATTCCCTGTAGTAAACAATGCAGTGTAATATTTCTAGGAATTCCCAAAAAAATATTTCCTAAAATATGGGAATCGGGGGAAGAGAGTATTTGTAGTACGCGAGGATGGTATGTGGCTGCAATCACTTGGAGAATTCAAGCATCTAGACCGCGTGCTATTCTGTGTGTTCATAGATTTTTTACATAACTATTATCACAACTAATCATAGTGTGTACGGTATCTGTGCAGTATTATTACTAAATAGTCAAATCAGTATTATTACTAAGATCAATTTTGTTAACATTTATGAAACAGGTGATTTTCTTACATCCTAAACCTAAAATATATAGAGTTTGTATCATAAATATTCCGAATTTTGAATCGGATACAAGCGTATCCAATCTTTGGATATTTAACTTAAATTTGTTCAATATTCATTCTACGTCGGCTTTTAGTGAGGCTAATTACCCTTGTCTAATGGAGTGTAACCTACCTTTGTCAATATAAATGCGGAAATAACCTACCTACTTAAGGGGCCCACCAGATTCAAATGCGGAACGAACCTACCCATTTATGGCCCTAGGGTCATTATCTGCGGAACTAACCTACCACCAAATGTATAGTGGTCCAAAATATAAGATTGTGCTGCAATATTTATAAATTAATCGTGGAACCACATTAATTAAAATCCAATTCAAGATACGCTTTGCTACTAAACTACAGTAATTCGTTGAAATTTATTTTTTTTCAAGGAACAAACAACACGAATGATACACTATGTTTAAAAATAGTATATATAAAAAGTCTTTGCTTAATCCAATCTTAAAAATGCCAATATAATACAAACCATTTCAAATACTTCATCCACACAGATTTGAGTCATCTGAGACGATAATAAACAGTAAAGGGAACCAATCTAACATTTTCAACCTAGCATCCAAAGGGCACATCTTCAAAACCTTTCACTACCAGTATCGGTATGATAGTAATAATTGAAATCTCACCACCATATATCACGATTGAGTTTTACTAAAAGATCCAAGAGAGGGGAGATGGGTCATCAACCTGTGCTACCTGTATTAGTTGTACTATAGTGAGTACAGTAGGGGAGAGAAAGAGGAGGGGGGAGGTCGCAGCATTCCTCTCTCTCAAGGTCGGAGGCAACGACACGGAACTCCCCCCCCCGGCGAAGTACTCAGTCACGTTTTTGTGGCCGGCCGCGGCCGCGGGTGCCCCTAATCTCTGTCGTGGAAGAATGCAGCCCTCGTTTGAAGTTAGGCCCGTTTTTACTCCTCGAAATTACTACGAGTAGGCGGAGTGGCCGATTGCATTCCGAGGAAGACGTTGTGGAGCTGAAGTTGTCGTGGAAATTAATAAAGTTGTTGTTCAGATGGAACACAATAGCAAGAGTAAGCAATTGCAATAGCAATAGCAGAGCAAGAGTGGATAGTTAAAAGAATACTGTGTAGCTACAAGACAAATTCACTCGTAGAGGGGCATATATTTTTATTGGAATATCTTTAGGTTTCTACATTTCTAAAACCTACTATGAAGGCTTATTTATGATGAGGCATCCTGCAAGCGGCTCTCCCCTATCCACTGAGGATCCCTCTTGACAGTAAGGGAAAATCATGCATTTATCTTCAGCTAACAACGCGGATGGCGGCGAAAACCACAAGATTTTTAACACCAGGATACAAACGATTCACAACAAATTTCAAGGAAGGTTTTTGACGTACCTGATTACGGTTCTCGCCGTAGCTGAGAGTCAGCAGGTTGTATCCCTTGTTGGAGGGGCTGGTGTCTATCCGTACTACGGTGGATGGATCTAGCCTCAGCGCTGGGGAACGTTCAGCACTGCTGACGAAGTCTTCTGTCCTCATGTCCTCAACCTGGATACAACAGAATACAGCGTTAGTCATTGGAGATAATAAAGGAGGAAAAGTGTGAACATTAATTATTAAAGAAGTCAGATAAAAATGTGGGTGAACGTCAAAGTGTTCTAGAATCATATCCGTAACTATCCCCGGTTGTTTCAAATCAATGTCATTTTCAAATTAGGATTCCAACAATACTAGCAAGGGAAATTTCATGTTTAAAATATTTCTAACACTGGAACTACAACTGACTACTGTAGTTCGGAAGACAACCAAAATGCCGTTGATCATAGGGTTTTGTCCATGCTACGAAAAATACCACGTGTATTTAGATTTGTTGAATGATAAAAAGATCCTTCAACAATATCAATGTTGAGTAGGGCATATTGAATACAAATCTTCATACAAAGTACTAGAAAAGTGATCTTTACAAGTACAGTCAATGCTGATTGGTGAAAGCTATCTAAAGATTCTAGAATGAAGAGTTGTAAGCTCACCTTCCTGAGTTCCCCATTGGCCAGTTGTATGAGCGATCCCTTGTTGAAGCTGGGGCTAGGCACATTGTTGTTAGTAGCTACTCCCTCAGGCACAGAGGGCAACTGAGGTCGTCTCCTCTTGGTGTCGGGCCTCGTCAGGATGCGGTGTTTCAGCGACCCTTCCTTTCCGGAAGGAACTTTGAATTTCTTGTCCTTCGTCAAGTTCTGTCCTTTCACTTGCGTCTCGGGCGGACTATGGCTATACCTCGGACTTTGCGGGCCAGGGTACGCCTCCAGAGGGGACAGAGGAGGGTTCGGGTTCGGGTTGGGAGGTAGATGTCTCTCTCTGAACGGAGTGTAGTGTGCCGGGTAGAGGCTACCGTAGGGTCCTTGAAGGCCAGGGTAGTGACTGAAGGGAGGGGGAGGAGGGAATAGTCGAGAGTTGTAGATACTCGACGGGAAGGTGGTGTTGTCCTCATCTTCTTTGTGCTGAACAAGACTGACCGGACGGTTCTGGTTGTACCGCGCGACTAGAGGAGCCGGCTTGGGCAGAGGTCGCAGGAACTCAGGAACCGGGGGGATTGAACCGAAGGACATGTGAGAGGCAGGGTAGTGCAGCCCGTGACCTTCCACCACCACGCCGCTGGAGATCATCGCAGAGGCACCATCGTCCTGGAACACGGGAGGGTGAACTTAGTGACCAATGGAAAAGTAAACATGTAAGATCGAACGTTCAAAGAGCATTATTTCAGGATAAAACCAAAACACTCTAAATCTAAGGACACGAGTACAACACTGTGGTACACCTCAGTGTATGGTGTAGGCCCAGCCCAAGGTCGCTGACATGGCAACGTCGCATTCATCTGTCAGCTGGGCCGCCTCTCAACCGACATCTCTGTGGGGCTGCGACGAAAAGGTGTTATAACAAAACAATAGAGCAACTATTATAATTGGGACTGCAACAGTATACGTACAAAGAGTAAGAAGAAATTGAATAAGACAACGTTGAGTAAAGTTTTCCTTTTCCAGTAAGACAATACTGTAACGTAGATCAATAAAAATCCAATATAGCAAACCTAAATTAAAATCGGACTATTAAATTACCAATTACGCCTTATACATTCCTCAAAAATCAAAGTTCAGGTTATAGTATATATAAATAACACGTTTTCCTGTTTGCCATCACAAAATTGAAACTTAAAGCAGTCGTAAAAATAACTTGATTTCTTTATTACTTCAAAAAATACGAATTGTTTATAGAGCGCACAGAACCCACAGAATAAAATTGAAATGAAGTTTTTCTAACCTAACATAGACCAAAACTATTATTATGGCATGACAACATAAGTACAAAAACAATGATCCTATTAAAAGTCTATCCCACCATACAAAATAAGAAAAAACATACAAAACGCTTTCCAATCTATGAAAATGTTAGCAGAGCAGTGATTGACAATTAGCAGATATTCATCAATGGTGTGTGCGTGTGCGTAGGCGAGCGACACACACGTACACAGTGGGCGGGCGACACAAGCACTACCTGTCGGCCAACTCCGTAACTACCACCACAATAGCTATTCACAGTACAATAGTGTTAATCAACTAATGCCAGCCAGAATTACGTGGGGTTTAAAGCGGCCGTTTTTAGATCACAAAGCAGGAGGTTGTAAAATGTGACAAATAAAAGTGGGCGAAGTCGTTTGCTGTTTGTCCTGTAGAAAGAGAGGTGGCAAAACTACATTCGTTCAATTGTTGGTTTTGGTTTACGGATGAATCACTGAGTGTATTTGTAGGTAACTGTTTATAAATTGTTATAAATATAATCCATCAAACAAGCAATTAGTAGGAATAAAATAAATTATGGAATACATTATAGTAATTTATGTAATGATGTCATCAATCTTGTGACCGCAAAATCCCAAAAATACTATACTGTATCGAGAATTACTAAAAATCGCACCCGCTTTGAAAAAAAAACTAACCATAGCCGTTCTCAAACTTGCAAGATCAGCTGTTTAGTCGGACGCCTGCCTTGCTGCACATATCAATTTGTTTTTCAGTATTGTTATTGCAGGGTTCAAACTTGTTACGCATTTTAAACAATTCTCTTTGGAACACGCCCTGCCCTAAAGGTTTCCATAATTCAAAAAAACTACGACATGCAGTTGAAATACGCAGCACATAATGCTACTGTACACGTAAACCATTGACTACCTAACTCACCATTACTGCATGACTGAAATGGCGGGAAGCGACAATGTAAATGCAAATGGCTTAGTAAAATGAGTACCCAGACTACCGGTAAATGGCAAATGCAGCGTTTCAACTCTTCCTCCGCATTTACACACAATCTGCGAGTCGAAGTACGTCAGTCGGTTTATGGTTGGCATTACCATATGAAAGAAGCTGCATGAAACAGTGCCTGCCCTTTTGTTTAGGGATGAATGAAGCTACAAAACCAGTGTTTAAATTTTAGTTGATTTTTTTTATAATTGGACAATTTCCTAAATTTGAACTGTGTGCATTTAATCTAGTTCAATGTTATCACAATTTAATTCACAAATGTTTGAGGGTAGATATACTTTGAATATAAGTAGAAATAGTAAACAATTAATCAAGTATAATCAAAATTGTTAAAACGATGCCTGATACTAATATCCAAACAATGTATAGGCATTTTCTCTATGTCTGGTAAACGACACAATTATTTTATGTTGACGCTTTACTTATTTAAAATTGTTAAAAAAAAACTGGCTCAAACTGTGTAGAGACAATAAGTTATAAGTTAACTTATACTGTTGACCCAAAAACGGTAAATAAGTCATAAATTCTTTATTCCAAAATAACAAAAAACACATTGTATTGGAAAAGTCATAAAAATAAACAATAGTAAAAACTGAAAAATTCTTATCAAGGTAGGCTAAATAATATGTACAAAGACTAACAATTTGATTCTTGTTTAATCTTTAGTCTAACAGGAATGACTGACTACATGTCAGCTGAGAAATCGCGGACGCTGTAGCAAGCCTTTTCAACTAATATGCTTTTCAGTTGTTTTCTGAATTTAAGTAAATCAGTCTCTAGCTTCAGCTGTTGGGGAAGTTGGTTAAACAGTTTAATGCCATTATACAAAAGATGTTTTTAAAAAAATGAGGTTGAATGGACAGGGATTTTCAGGTTGTGAGATGTGCGTAAGGAGTATGTACTGCAGTTATAGTGCTGGTGTTAAATATTGACTTGTGTTTTTTTACAAAGGAAAGGGTTTCAAGGATGTATAGTGAGGGAAGAGTCAAAATAGCAGCTGACCTAAATGATTCCTTACAAGATCGTCTTTTGAAAAGTGAAAATATGACACGAATGGCTTTTTTTTTGCATTTTAAAAAGGAAGGAGGTTCGTTTGTTTTCAGATCCCCAAACAGGTAGAGCATAAACTAGATAAGGAAATATTAAGCCATAGTATAAATACATATTCAAACGACGGTAAGTGGTGATCGACTTCGATCGGACACTCCAATCATCATCAGACACTTACCATATTTTATATATTTACCGTCTTATGAGTCAAAAGGATTTTTATCATTTACAAATATATGTAAATTACTACTAAAAGTTACACAGAAACATGACTATAGGCTTATGCTACTGTTCTGGTGAAACACTTGTAGGACATTTAACCCAGGTCTTGAGTGCCAAGTGTTTGAAGATATTACGTAGGCACTTGTAGTACTATCGTTGTCAGATAAGAGTTGTTTAGGGCTCTTGAGTATATGATTCAAAAATAAAATTGTGATCACGACAGAAACACTTGAAAACGCGTGATCACCTACCACAATGACTTGAAGAGATATTCAACATAAACACACTTCCTTATAGGGTTATCGTTATGAATCAGCTATCAATTCTTGTGCTCAGGGTAATGTGTTTTGATACACATTTCTTGTTATACATTTAAAACTATTTCAACTATAAAAGTATTGCATTTAAAAACTATTGTTTGACCTATCGCATTAAAAGAGTAGTTGGTACACCTGTACACGCTCCTAAAATGAATAAAACCATTATTCACTACACGTCAAAACTGTATGCTAGCTTACAGTATAAATATTAGCCATATTGTATCTTCAAATTTTAAAATATGTTGTAAAACAAATGCAGTGAATAAAGTCAACAATAGTAATGTTTACCACCGATATTTTGTATAATCCGAATAATTTACTTTTAACTTGTAAAATGTAACTATAAATACAATTGGCATTGACTTCCAGGATCCTTAAGTTGCCTCACTGTCAACTGGACAACTGTAGAAAAAATAGCCAACTCCTATCCTAAAGATTGTGTCCATAATCCTAAAGAAAGTTACAGTTTTTTAAGAACGTAAAAGCGAACTGTCAATCAAACTTAAACGTAACTGTCGCGGTAGCCATGTTAAAATCGTTAATTTTTATTCTAAAATTATCTACAACCTACATACTTACGAATGATATGTCTACTGCTCACTATATAGCATGAGTTTCAGTAGGAAGTAGCAATGAACGCAGGCTTCTCATAAACTGTTGTTCTACAAATCTGTTCCTATTGACAAAAATATTTAATCGGACGGATCTGGGCGTGCTGAAAATATTTTCTAACACTGACTACGTGACTTAACGCTTGCATTCGTTGTCTCTTTGCGCTGATAGATAAGTATTTTTATAGAAGAGCTCAAGTGAAATCGGTTCAGTATCTAGTAGCTTCCGCATACTGATAACACAGCCAAGGTCTGCAGCAGAGGAAGAAAAATATGGTTTGCCAATTGTAGCATTGTTGCGAAATGGATAATAAATCGCTTAGAACAAGATCAAAGCTTCGTTTGAAGTTGAATCCAACCAAGACGTTGGGCGTTTTGTAGACATTTCAACATCAGGCTAAACAAGTTCTAATAGTTCAAAATACATCAAGTGTTTTTATTACTATCAAAGTATAAAGTGCTCTCCCAAACTACCTTAACACTTCATCATTTGTGGTATTCACAAATGAAAGACAAAAAAAGTCTTTATATTAATTGTACCTTGAGTCGTGACTTGTTTGATTGTGCTGGCGATTTATACTTACAAACGTCAAATTCAGCAAAACAAAGGTTTATTAAAATAGTCCTTGATTTTATTCAGCATTTTTCTAATTTGAAGATAGAATATTTCTAGATCAATTTTGAAAATACACCTGTACTAGAAACTAGAATTCTATACAATTCTATTAATCCCTTGGCAAACACGTGATTTAAAACAAACTCACAACCATACTATCCCAGCAATGCAGGCAAAACTTTAGAATACGCCAACAACAAAACACAGGCAAATACTTTAGACGAAACTCGCGTCAAATATGCAAGCAGCTGAGTTGCCTCACTGTCAACTGGACAACTGTAGAAAAAATAGCCAACTCCTATCCTAAAGATTGTGTCCATAATCCTAAAGAAAGTTACAGTTTTTTAAGAACGTAAAAGCGAACTGTCAATCAAACTTAAACGTAACTGTAGCGGCAGCCATGTTAAAATTGTTAATTTTCATTCTAAAATTATCTACAACCTTTAACATGTGAATGATATGTCTACGCTCACTAGCATTAGTTTCAGTAGGAAGTAGCAGTGAACGTAGGCTTCTCATAAACTGTTCTACAAATCGGTTACCATAGAC